AAAAAAAAAAAAGGTCTGGCCAGCCTGTATTCACAAAAATCAAAGCCTTATCTGTAACTAAAGTAAAAAGATAGAAACAGCACTTTCTGTGGTGTTCAGTGGGAAATTGTACACAACAGTTTGCAAGGTCTCTATAGCAATACTGTATTTTGTAGAAAACAACAAGGAGGGGGGTGAGTTTTAACCTTCGATCCCTCTCCCTACAAATTTATCTTTCACATATTACAACTGATGCAAATCCCAACGTAATGGCTCTTTTGGACCCTGCTTTTTAAAAACAAATCAAAACAAAAAACCAACCAAACAAACAAAAAAACCCAAACCCCAAAAAACCAAAAACAACTTCAAAAAAAGCTATGTGATCCAGGCAGCTAAGGAATAAACTCTTTCTGCTTCTTAGATGTTCTTTCCAGAAGAGGGTTTGTTCTTGATCTGTAGTTATGCTGAGATGGATAATTTGATTCACAGCTAGAAAGAACTGGAGGCTTTTGTTTCACATTTTGCTCTGAAATGCTGCATTAATTGTGTTGTTCTTTTCAGCATAGATGCTTCACTGACATTTTAGGATTTGTTAATATTTCCAAACTTCTTGGAAAAAAAAAAACCAACCTTGCTGATAATTAGAAAATTGCCATTCCATAATGGAAATACCTGAGCTTTTACTTAAGACTTGTTATTCCCCTTAATATGAAGGTTATAAACACACCTTAATAAGAAGCCCTTTTGAACAGTAATCGGAAACAGCTGCTATCATTACAAGTATTTTATTTCTACTGCGAAAATAGCTGTATGCTGTCCTGAGTGACAATAACCTTTACTGAGTTTCACTCTGCAGATGGGTGACACCTCAGCTACATCAGCAGCTGCAGTTGTGGACAGTTACAAAGGCAGTTTCATCTTTTCCATGCAAAATATAGGTTAAAAATGCAAACTAGCACATGATTTAATCCAGTAAAAGTAGAATAGCCTGTCAGAGAAAGTACACTGGCAAATGGGCAACCAGTTGAACATGTTATATTTTAATTTGCAGAGACAAAAATGACAAGCAATTTATTTACATAAAACTGTACAAAAGCAAATTAAATTATGTAAATATTTCATAAATAGAGGTGGACTAGCGTTTAATACATTTTGCCATGTTTAGCATAGTTGCGTGCATAGTGACTCATAATAAACAATGATAAATTGTTCTCTGCTTCACTATCAACATCCAAGTTGCAGAACAATAGTCAATGATTAATATTACAAACAGATCGTACCACACTGAATGCAAGTGCTTTAAAATTTAGGAAAAAGTTGTCTGAAAGCATACCCAGGTAGCTGGTGCATGTTGTCTTCTTCCTTGTGTTTATGCTCTTCAGTCAGTAATACAACTTAACTGATGGACTTTCATTTCTATTGCTATTTCATCTGCTTTGTTCCTTAAGGAAACACTGTACATTTATCACCAATGAAACAGAAGGAAAAATATTTCATTGTTCAAGTTCCTTAAATATGTTTGGTGATGGCTGGATTTATGGCAAGGTCTTTATCCATATTCTTTGTTTTCCTGCTTGACAACTTCCTAGGGTAGCCTTTCAGCCAATCATTTCAATCCCATTTAAGTTCTTCCCCCACATAAAAATAATGTTTAATTATTTTTTTTTTTCCTGAAACTCAGGCAGCAGGCCAGTCAGAAACCATATTGAATAAACATAGTGGATCTGAGATCCAGAATGAGCATTAGATTTTAGACCAAAGCTATTGAATTTTCTAATACATATAAAGTTATATATTAACGCATCAATCTATAAAGGTGCCCTAATGTAAAATACATGCAAAGCCCATTTGAGTTTCCCATGGTAGGAAATAAAAGGATGATTTCTATGCTGCACAACTGAAATGTGATGACGGCTAAAAGCAATTCAAAAAAGTATTAATTGACAATTTTCCTGGCAACATGAACTGGTGACACCTTGCTAAATAACTATAGTATAGACTGATTGTGGTTTTCCAGGCAGCAGAATTAAAAACAAATGAAAACAACCCCAAACCCCACACAAAAAGTAATTAAAAAAATCCTCAAAACCTACTTAAATCACAGCCTTGTGTTAATAATGCTTAAGACTGGTCCATTAACTGAGTTTGGCAAAAGGCTTTTTTTAAATATATTATTTATAATTTCTCAGAAAATAAACACAGGTAAATATACAGGTTCAAAAAAGTTGGGAATAGCCCCTTATCCCTCAGTGTCCAAACCCAACTACCACTTTACCATAATAATAGGTATAAAAGGCACAGTTGCATATTTCGCATTCACCCTAATTATTTTTTACAGTTTTATTTGTTTATTTTTATACAAAAGCACTCTATTTATGGAGTGGCACCAGTTTTAACCTATTTCAAATAAAGAGGAAAAATACAAACACAAAATATATTTGTGTGTCATGCCAGGTCAGAAGAGTAATCAGCATTTTAATAGTGGCTAGTTCCACTAGAATTACTGTGAATACTTACAGTAGATAGAATTTTTAAAAAACTCTTTCACACCCATTTTACATCTAAGGAGATGCACACAAGTAAAGTATTTAATGACTGTCTTATGTGGTGCAAAAATCAGTGAGTGACTGCTGATCCATTTAATCTGAAGGTCTTCTGTGACCTGTATTATTAGCCTTGTAGAAAAAGGGTCCAAGAATATGTGGAACCAAGCTACCTAATTTTTTTGTGTGTGTGTGTAATATTAAATAAAATCTTATTAAAGGAAATTGTGTTGAACATTTGTGTTATGCAATTGTGTATTCTGTTGAAACGTGCAAGAAAAATGTGTATACATTACATAAGCATTTTTAGAAGCATTTTTAAACAGGTACTTACAGATTATACAAAGCAGTAACTGCTGTATGCAGTCTCATAACAAAGTACTAGTTTGCATCTCTCCGTACTACTTAAATAATTAAACATAAAAATGTTCAATCATTATTAATCTTTGATTTTTAATATTTTCTTTCTAAAATGTGCCCATTCATCATAACTGCTATACAAAAACTAATGTTACTTGAAGAAAATAAACTCGAGAGAGGAGACTGGGATGGCCAATAACGGCACATCCCACTACATGGAGAAAACTCAAAAGGTAAATGTGATGAGTTGTATCAATTTACCAACCTCTACTTTAGGCTGTTTAAGGTTATTTCTATGCAATTCTTCAAAGCAAGAAACTACCCAAAGCTACATCGTGACTATGGTATACTAGAGAGCCATCTAGCCATGCCTTAATGCCAGGTTAAACAGCCAGGGATTTGAACGCTTCCGCCCTCCTCGAGCTGTCCTTGCTGTGTTGTTCGATTGTCGTTTTCATTTGAACGTCTGAGCTCAGTCTGTCATTATTACTACAGCATCAGCTACAAAGCAACTGGTTGAAATTCTGCACATTTTGTTGCTTTTATTGCACAAAAACTTGTTTCATTTCCTCTTCCTTTCAAGAAGCGCTCACCATGAGAATCATTATAGCCCAGAGCTCTTGCATATCACAGTAGTTTGGACTCCTTCTGACTCATCTTGATCTGCCAGGTGAGTATCATACCACTGTTTATCAGACCATTTTCTACATAGCCTAAATGTTCCGAGTCTTGATTTCATTTAGTATTGCACTTCTCTTGGTTTTAATGCACTTGTGTTTCAAGAAAACCTGCATTATGTCTTTCACATAATTGAAGCAACCGGAGACCAATGACAAAACCCTTAGCAATCATTCCTTGCGCTCTGAAAAGAAGGTTTTGTGTTTGACTTGTAATATTCTTTTGTCACTGCATCATCCTCTTGTCCACCCATTCCATCCCACCAAGCATTGTCATTAATACAGCCTTCTATTATTACTATTAGTTTTTAATTTTGATCTTTAAAATTCCCTGGAACTGGCATATGCAGCATATCATGCGCACCATCTGCTGCAAGATGTCATGTCATTACAAAAAACCCACATCTGTTCCTTTGGGCATTCAAATGAACGGCACGGGGAAAAAAAAAAAAAAACCAAAAAACAAAACCTTGTCATCTGGGCTCATGGACTGTGCTGCTGTGCAAAATGTAACTGCGGGTGTGTTATGAGTACACCTGTGTATTTGTGAATATATTTGTTTTCTAAGCCCAACCCCGACACTTAGCAGTTCCCCTGATCCATTGTGTGATCTTTGGCCTTTTTGTTATTACCATCTTCCCAGTTAGATGTTAGTCTTGCCCAAAATAATGATTTTAAGAGTTTATCATTACTATCCTACAGTATACGTGTTACTAATCGTAATTACGTTGAAGTAATCATTACAGAGAGTGAAAGAGAAGGAAAGAGAGACACAGCAAGAACACGCTTGTTCTATGGATAAAACAGAACCAGAGTTCATGAATCATAGGAAAGTATGCCATGGTTTTGACTGCAGCCTCAGGCTGAACGTATTTCTGTTGCTTCCAGCCTCAGATGAGAGGTGAGAATATTAAAGCTGTGGTCTTCACAAAGTGCCTATTAATGATTATTCCTTTATATTTATCTCTATGTCCGTATGGTTTCTGAAGGATTGTCCCTGGTGGGGATCAGCAATATTCAGATGATATGTTTTGAGTACATTTTCCCTGACCTGTTATCCTCAACAAGCCAGATGACAATCAAACAAAATGAGTGGCTTAACTCATGCTTCTGCAGAGGGGAAACAACAGTGTGTTGTGTTCTTTTTAATCAAGCTCGTTACTATGGGAGAAATTTGCAACCATAGATTTAGGAAAATAAAAATCAGTGAGGGGGAATTAGACATGCAAGTAACAACAGTGTTTTCTACATTGTACAATATAGTCAGGCAGACAGTATAATTAAATGCCTGCTATGGAGGCAGAAGTGGCAGGCAGATCTTTTGTCTCTTTGGTGGCCCCCTCTTTTTTGTTTCTTATTTTTGTTAAAATTGTCGTGATTTTAAGACTTTCGCCCCTTTTCTTTCTCATAATATGAAAGAACTTTGTTGCTGCTTTTTAGCCTACAGGTAAACTTCTCTTCTAGTTAGAGTATTGACAGGAGATGGCTTGTATTCCCCTGTCTGTGTAAGGGGGATATCCTCTGGGTTGCCTTCTTCATTTTTGCTGAAACTAGCCGTGCTGAAGGTCTCATAGGATGAGGTCAACTTTTTGTTAAGGAGGTTTCTGTTGCGATCACCCATGAGGGAGGCTTCTCCATTGGCCAGCTTTTCCTGACTGCCCCGTTCATCGACAGGCATGAAAGTGGAGAGTTTTGGCTGGCTCTTCTGCTTTCTTTCAGGAGAAGTGCGAACTGGCATCCAGCAGGAGTCCGAGTGGCCATATTCATCACATTCTCGGGTACATTTCCCTGTCAGGGCTACATCTGGTAGAGGCCTTGAATCTGAAAGTAAAATAGAGTTGTCGTTACAAATGAATAATATTGCAATGACTTCCAGTGAAACAGCAAATACTTAAACTCATAAAAAGGTATTTTTAAAGGTCTTGTTAAGAATGTTGCAATGAGTTCCTCAGTAATAGTTTTTTTTACATTGCGTGTGCCCATAGGCAACAAGCGTATCTGAACAGTTATCCTCAACCTCAAGAACTTATTATTATTAAGCCGCTCCTTGTGTTTGTGAATCCACCTCAAAAGCATTTGTGGCATTAGGTACTAAATAATTTTTGATGTCTAATAGAGTCAACCATGCACTTAATTCCATACAATTTTCTTGAAATTATTAAAAATACCTTTCTTTGAATTTTTTGTAAAGAATACTTTGAACTTATATGAAAAGAAGCTGAGGCCCTTGACCCTGCAAACACTTATGAACATGCTTAACTCCCTGCAAGTAAGCAGCTCTGTTACTAACAATGGGACTCAATTTGCATATCGTGTAAACTTCTGCTTGTATTTCTCAGGATTGGGCATTCATTGTTAGGACACAATATGTTACATGAATCATACAATTGGTGATTAGTAGGAGCGTATAAAAACCCTGCTTTGGGTTATAAATGTAATCTGATGCATATGGATAAAGCTGTTCTGTGTGTTGTGTATGTGTGTGGAGGCACAGGGAGAATCTGAGTGCTGCCTGAATAGATGCACTAACATTTTGTATGTCACTTGTTGTGTTAGAAGGTGTCCTGTTCCAAATGACTGTGACTAAGCTTTCTAGCTACTGTACTTGTAAGAGCTTTCATTGAAAACTAGCAAAGTTCAGGGGACTGCAGGATTGACTTTTGCCTGATAAAAATATGAATAGTTTTTAATATTCATATTTGATACTTGCACTACAATTTAATTAAAAAGCTACCTTAACTGTTTCAAGCACTGGGTAAGATTCTGAAACCTTCCTTTTATTAAGTTATACTGTACTTTATAGTCTACAAGAAGTAGCTGGAACTGCCTACAAAGTAACAATGTGATATTCAAACAATTAAAGCTGACAAAGAACAAAGAAGTATAAGTAAATTAATTTTTGCAGTTTATTTGATATGACTTTCATGTGATATGACTTATTGGATGAAGCCTTTAGGTTTCTTTTATAAAAAAAGAAATCTATTATCTTGAAAAGGAGCAAGGCGCTTCAACATGGAAACACAATCAGGTACATCACAGGGCTGTTGCAACTTTCTGCCTTCCCCACATTCAAGCGAACAGAAATTTTACCGGTAGTAACCTATGCCTTATAAAATAGCTTTCAGAAGTCTATTCAGCCTTCATTTTGTTACTTCTATTTTGCCTATTTTTTCTTTGATTTTGGCTGCCAGATGACCTTCTCAAACATTGACGATTCCAACTGTGATATTTTTATAAATTCATAACTGCTGAGTGGTTTTTTGGTTTGGTTTTTTTTTTTTTTAAAGTAACCAAATACCCTTTGCCTTTTCCAGAATAAACTGTTTTAATTTAAAATATTTACAACAGGTGCTTGCAGAGCAAGCATATTTCATTTCAGCATCTGCAGTTTTAATCCTGATAGAACTGCAAAAGCTCTTGAAAGTCAGATTTATGTTCATCTGTCCTGATTTTTTCATGAATTTCAATGTTCATTTAATTAGTAATTTGTTGCAGTAATGTAAAGAATATGCATATTACTTGTTATTAACAATTGTCATAATTTGTATAGAACCTACTACACGTATTCTGAATACTGTATAATATTTCATATTACAATATGTCACTGATTTTAATGAGGAAAACAGCACTGATGTTTAGATAACTGAGTAACTGTAGCTGAGATGTATAAGGCTGGGAGGAGGGAACTGAGGTTTGGGGGTTTTTTTGTTTGGGTTTGGTTTGTTTGTTTGTTTGTTTGTTTTTCCTAGTTGTATTTAAAGCTTTCGCACTTAAACTCAGCCATGATTCCCAAATTTTTTCAATGAAGAATGCAAAGACTGTGGACTGCTATCAGCCTGTCAGTTTTCAGATGACTGTGTTCTGGAGATGTAGACCGAAGATGGGGACAGTAACAGGAACATTCTCTATTTGTCAGCTAAGTATAGTATTATTCTGGCACTCCCTAAGGTAAGAAAAGTAATTAGCTGCTGAGCTGCAACTGATGTGCTCTGAGCATTAAACAAGAAAGCTTTTTAAAATTGGGAAAATCCCTTTCCCATCTACATCTCAATAAACTTTTAAAACAGCACCTTCTTTCCAAAGAGTAACCATTAAACATTATGCTTGCCACTAGTATTTCAATTACTACTCTGGCAGAATATTAGCAAATGCTTATCAAGGCAATACCTCCGACCTTTATTTGAAACATAGGAGTATGTGTTTATTAAAAAGGAGGGCTGGGGGGAGTGGGTGGTGTTTGTTTGTTTTTCCCAGACTGAAACAGTTAATGTCTCATTATATTTGATGGTTTCTTTTTAGTGCAGACAAGTCTTGAGCCAGCATTACTTGGGTTGATAAAAAACCTTCCCTTGTTAGTGGTCCTTGAATTATGTACTTGAAAAGTTACCATTTTGCACTGTAGTGCATCCCCTATTCAATTCTGGACAAATATTAGAATTCCTTATTGTAAAACTTGAGGACTTGCGGTACCATTCAGGGTTATAGTGCTGTTTTATGAAGCAACAACCTCTAAGTCAGCACGTGGCTGACTTTCCCTGTTGAGTTATGTGATAAACCTCATCTTCAAACCCACAAAAGACCTCAGAGAGACACAGGCAGGATAATACTAGTCCAAATAATACCTTGATGGGGGTACTCACAGGCCTATCACAGGGGCCATCAGCCCATCAAATGTCCATTGGCCCAGGCCCAGCAAAGCACAGGGATGTACAGTGGCAGATAGGAACACAAATCCAGGACTTGGAAAGAATAACCAGCTTGTCCAGGCCCCTCCCAAGGGTAACCTAGCAGAGCCTAGGCGTAAAACCCATCACCATGAGTCATTGGCAGCTGCTCTCCAGATCACCTTTCTGTAAAACGGGGAGAATGCTGCCTAGGTATGTAGGACGCATTATGGGATATGGGGGAAAAGCAGTTTAAGATAGCATAGGATTTATCGTGTGATGTTTAGGGGAGGAAACAAAGGGAGGACATGGGAGGGGTTGAGGTGATTTGGGGAGGAACAAGAGTGAGAAAAGAGAGAGATAAGGGGATAAAGGGGTCAGGCACATGTAAATACTATGCTGACTAATAAGCTTGTCTGATTGTGCCCTGCGCCTAAACAGCGCTGTCTGTCCTAACTTCTTATTAAATTCCTTTCTAACTCTTTCCTGGATAGGTGCTCTCTATTATGTATGCATGTATACATATGTGCATGTCCAGTCTCACTAGTGGACTTCTGTCCTGTCCAGACAGAAAGGGGAGCAGAATGAGGCCACTGGTGCTGTCTGTGTTCATGTGAGTGCTCTGAGCGTGATCAGTGTGGCCAACTGTGTATATATTTGGTGTGTATGTGTGCTCTGTGTGTGCCTACTGGGAATACATCTTCATCTTTGCTGCTGGTTGGACCTGGGGCCATGGAGCAGCAGCAGCATCCTTGCCTCCCTCAAGCTGTCAGATCCAGTGTGATATATTTTCCTCTAAAGCACCCTTCAATTAGCATTTGGCACGTACAGTTAATGTAGCCTTCTACTCCATCACTTTCTTGTATCTGTTCTAAGAGCTTGAATCACAACAGCATTTAAGCACACATTTAATTGAACGTGTTTTGAAATCTGTTGAACTTAACTGCTCTTCGATTTAAAAGTTGGACATCTGCTTTTGGCGGGGGGGTGCGGTGCAGTGAAGAAGGGAAGGTTTTTTGTGTGTGTTTGTACTGGTTTTAGCTGGAATAGAATTAACTTTCATACTAGCAGCTGGTGTAGTGTTATGTTTTGGATTTAGGATGAGAATAATGTTGATAACACACTAATCTTTCTAATGGTTGGTAAGCAGTGAAAGCTTTTTCTGCTCCTCATACCGCCTCACCAGCGAGTATGCTGGGAGTGCACAAGAAGTTGGGGTCAGCTGTCCTGGCTGTGTCTCCTCTCAACTGACCAAAGGAATATTCCATACCATATGATGTCATGCTCAGCATATAAAGCTGAGGGAAGAAGGAAGGGGGGGATGTCACGGCTCTTTATCTTCCCAAGTAACCATTACGCGTGATGGAGCCCTGCGTTCCTGGAGATGGCTGGATACGTGCCTGCCGCTGGGAAGTGGTGAATCGATTCCTTATTTTGCTTTGCTTGTGTGCACAGCTTTTGTTTTACTTATTAAACTGTCTTTATCTCAACCCATGAGTTTTCCTTATTTTTCCCATTTTTCTCCCCATCCCACTGGAGGAAGGGGAGAAATGAGCAAAAAGCTGTGTGGTCCTAGTTGCCGTCTGAAGTTAAACCACAATAGTGTTATATCAGAAGACAGGTAAAACACCCAGTGCTGTCAGAACTAAACTATTACCAGTACCTAAACTAGTCCGTTAAGGACAATTTGGATACTTTCTATACACTGCAGCAGATTACAGAGATTTAAACTTCATTTTGAATAAACTGCCACGCTACTTAGCTTCAAAGTAATTAAACATATTTTTGCTAATTCCCTGAACAGTGACCCTCTTTTGCAGAGTAGTAACTTCATCCTCCTCTTTTTACATTGTTCACCTCTCCTTGGTTTAGATAATCTCAGAATTTTTTTTTTAAAAATAATATAATTATTTGTCCTTTAGCATAATTTACATCCAAACTTAACCATCTCTAAGTGACATACTTTTTAAGTACTCCATAGTTTAAAAGTTAAACACTTTAGTAGTGACCACACTGCTAACTGACAAGCCTAACGGAATATTACACAGCAAAGAATTTGTTAGCACTGTTGGCAGATCATCAAGGAAGAGTACAACCGATTTATACCAGTTACATATCTGGAAACTGACTCAAATAAATGTTTAAAGTGCAAATTAT